AAACCATAACTAAATGGGGATGTCCTAAAGATCTATGAAATAAAATTTTGGTGTGGCATTCCTCCTTAAATTAACTGACAATAATATATTCATTGGTCTTTAAAGTGTGTTGTTATATCTTTTAATTATTTTTCTTCTGGAATGGATAGTGTCAGAAATAATTTGCTCTGATTGGTTTGCACAATGGTGATGATAGGCAGTAATCCCCCTCCCCCCCCCCCCCCAACTTCAAGCCCCAGTGAACACCCATGGGAATATTGAACCAAGTTTTACTTGAAAACACTGATGGCAATATTCTGATCAGTATGTAAATGTGTATATATATACATGATGTAATCATGGTGATTAGTTGTCTTGTTTTACATCTCTCTCGAGAATTTTTCACTCATATGGAGACGCCACCACTTTCTGGTGGAGAGCTGCAAATTTTTTACCTATACTCAGCACTCGGGGCCATTGAGCAGTGAGGGATCTTTTTCATGCCTGCACCTACCGAACCTCGGTTTATCTCCATGTCCCACAGTGAGATTTGAACCCACGTTGTAAGGATCAACTCCCTACTGCACGATTCTAGAGCAGACGCTCTAACCACTGCGCCACGCCACATGGGCGACTATGGTGATTAGAAGTACTCTTTTAACATGCATTTTAAAATGTAAATACCCCAGCTTCCTCATTTTTTTAAAGGTCCCCCAAACACAGAGCATTCCCTATTGTCTTTTGATATTTGAAGGCTGGTTTAGTAAAATAAATTTGAGAACACCATTGTTCTTTTGTTGAGATATGTTTCTGTAAAATAATCCTAATTTCAAAAGAACTTTTCAGAAAAAATAGCAAGTAAGGAAGTACCTTAACAGCAGAACCCTGACCCCCGGGGCTATGAATTTCACAATTTTGGTAGAGGGCTCAGTTCTCTTTATAATCATGCTCTGAGTTGGACTGTTTGATTCACAGGGGTAAAGAAGAAAATTTTTAGATTATAACTGATGGTTTTGGCCCCACCCCTCAGGCCCCAATGGGACTGGGGCCAAAAAATTCTCAGTCTATGTTCCCCTTTGCCAAAAATTATTGTTTATTTAATTCTTTAATTACGTGTACCTTGTCTGGCTTTACAACAGTGATCTAAATAGCGACAACCAATTAGTCGCTTCACTGACCACATGCACCTGTGGCGGTATATCGAGATAATTGACACTTTGAAATGGACGTTTGTTGTGAAAACAGGGTGGCGGATGGCGGTATGTGAATTTGGCTTTATAAAGAGAATTTTATATAGCAGGAAAAAAATTCTTGAAAAATCATGGCAGTATTGTGAGAATGGCGATGAATCGAATGGCGATAACTCGAGAATTGACTGCACTTTTTTACATCATTGGGACTGAAAATCAATTTCCCATTATCATGAATTCGTTTTAAGCATGTTCACTATAACCACGTTTTCCTGTACCAATATTGGTTGAAATTGGTTCAGCGTTTGAAGAGAAGAAGTTGAAATTGTTCCAAAGTTTACAATTGACAGATGACGAAGGACGAAAACAGATAGCAATAGGTTATCTGAGTGACTCAGGTGACCTAAAAAGTAAATGCTGATTCTTGCCTTGGTTTTTTCAACAACTTTATTGACAAGATTGCTCCCTCCAATCCATGAGAACAATCCCCCTCTCTGATTATTTGGACTTGTGGGGGACTCAGGGATCATCTCTGCTGGAACTGGGATGTGAGAACTGGCTTCCCAAGGGGTCTCTATTTGAGCTATTGATAAAATAAGAAAAGAAATACTGTATGCATGGAAATTTCGCCCTGTTTAATTTTTCTCCCTTTGTCCTCGTAACAAGTGGCCAATTTTGAAACAGGGTGAATTCAAAGTAAACAAAGTTATTTCTTCTAACATTACTGGATCTGAGCAAATCTGAAGTGGGGAAGAATCTTTTCCAAGTGTAATAGGGCAAAAATAACCCTGTATACAGTTTTAAAGATGTACAACACAAGTAGGGGAGATAACTTTTGCAATTTTGATTATTTATTAAGCATCAAAATGACTAGTGATACAATTCCGACGTTTTTTAAAGAAAAAATTGGATTAAGGGCTTTGATTGTGGTTTCTTTATGAATACAAAATACTATATTCTTGATTATTTGTGCATTTGCATTAATTCCCCACATCCACCTCCATAAAAAGAAAGAAAAAAGATTATCCCTTAAAATTTTTAAATTTTATAAGTAAATTGTATTCCTGAACAAACCATAGCATTTTAAAAATCTTTTTCCCCCCCGCTTTTTTCGAAAGCAAGGGGACATAAAATCTCATTTCTTGGTCATAACTTTTAAATGAGAAGAGACAGGGATTTTATATTTCACATGTACATTACCTGTGACAAGACATTTCTAAATATATTATGATTTTTTACCCTGTGACCTTGAAGTTTGACCTACTTTTCAAAAATTTTAACATTACTTTAAATTGGTCATAAGATTTGAATGAGAAAAGATAGGGCTTTCATATTATACAAGTTTATTACCTGAGACAAGACCTTTCTAAATATCCTATGACTTTTCATCGTATGACCTTGGCCTCGAAGTTTAAACTATTTTTTTTTAATTTATCTTTGCTTATAACTTTTGATGGAGAAAAGATAGGGCTTTCATTTTTTATGTGTGCATTACCTGTCACAAGACGTCCAAGCATGCTATGATTTTTTACCTCTTGACCTTCATGTTTGATTGATTGATTGTATGTTGTTTAATGTTCCATTCAAGAATTTTTCATTCATATAGAGACGTCACCGTATGCTGATGAAGGGCTTCAAATTTAGTCCTATACTCGGCACTCAGGGCCATTGAGCAGTGAGGGTTCTTTATCATGCCAACACCTACAGTGACAAAGGACCTCGGTTTTTAAGGTCTCACCCTAAAGACCCGTGACTACTTCTAGTGCCGGGCGCTTGGCGAAAGAACAATCACTACCTATGTTTACATCTTAGGTTTGACGCAGCGTGGCGAACAAGAATCGAACCCGGGCCTCCCGATCACAAAGCGAGCGCCCTACCACTAGGCTACCATGTACGGTCCTTCATGTTTGACATAATTATCAAAAATTTTAACTTTGGTGATTACTTTTGATTGACATATGATACATCGTTCATATTTGACAAGTCAGTGTTCCAGCTAGGGTGAAATAGAGGGGCGCCGCACCCCGCCCTCAAATCAGTACGCCCCTCTGCCCTCCACAAGCGCCTCTGTTAGTGTCCTGTATTATTCTGACTGTCCTTTTCCCTCATTAGAATAATCAGCATGTTCCAATGCAGATTACCCAAGGACAATCAGCAATTCACACCTCCTGTCATAGACGATTACGCAATGAAACTCGCATTATGGTACCTATGTACTGTACAGGTGCCCAATTTCAATTACAGGTGATTAGGTAATACTTTGATCACTTGACAGTCTGAATAGGGGTTAAAAGCTAAAATACTTTGGGAATGACCAAGCTATCTGTTTTAATTAATATAAAACAAGAGTCTTGTATTTTTGCTTCTAAAAATAAATCACGAAGTGAAAGTAGAATTAACATTGACCTTCACTTCTTATTTATAAATTCTTGACGTTTTTCTGGAAAAAGAAGGAATTCAATATTTAATAGCATAGAAACAAGTACAAATATTCATTTTTTTTCTCCTTAATTATGATTTTTGACACTCTGGAAGGTATTTTATGAGATTACAGATATGTACATACTAAATGTGTTCTACTTCATTGCAGAAGTTTAAAATCTTAGTTTAATTAATTATCTGCCAATAACATGACCAATATGATAAAACTAGCAAAAAAGATATTGGCTTTAAATTGTTATTTTAATACTAGTACTAATATGTTACTTATAACCTACAAATACTAGCTGTATCCATATTTTATACATTTGCCAAAAACAGACCCCATCACGTATAGCACATGTACTGCAACTGAATAATGTGAGACACCAGCTAGTTTATAAGAATTATGGTTCTGTTTTTGAAAATAGGAAATAAGAATAGAAAATGATTAAAAAAGAAGAAGAAAAGTAATATTTATTCTCAGAGGATTTTTAAAATTCTTTTTTATATGTTAATTTATATACTATCGGGTAGCTATAGATTAGGCCTAATGTGTGTTTATATATCTTTCAAATCAATAAGGTTACATAAATTAATATTTGAAGGAGTTCATTATTATAAGGGTGAAGTAATGAGATACGCCTATGTAACAAAGGCTCGCAACAAATGGTACGTGGCGAAAAAGTGCCCTCCTCTTGCACCCATTCATTTTCAGATCCTAGCTGGAACACTGCAAGTGCATTACCTGTGGCAAAATGTTTCCTAATAAGCTACGATATTTGACCCCATGACCTTGACCTTATTTTCAAACATTTTATCAGTGCTGCTAACTTTTGAATGAGCGAAGATAGGGCATTCTTATTTGACACGTGCATTACCTGTGACAAGCATTTCCATATGTTCTATGATTTTTAACCCCATGACCTTGGCGTTGACATAATTTTCGAAAATTTTATCACTGCTGATAAATTTTGATTGAAAGTATATATGGCAGTTACATTTGACATATGCATTACCTGTTTCAAGACCTTCCAGATTGTATACTCAGCTGGTTTTTGTGACCCTGACCTTAACGTTTAACCTACAGTTACTTTTTTCTAATTAATTTTACATTTGTAATAACTTTTGATTGAGAGAAGATAGGGCTTTCATATTTCTACATGTACATTACCTATGTCAACAACTTTCAGAAAAGTATATCATTTTTGACTTTATGTCCTTGACCTAGACGTTTGACCTACTTATAAAAAATGGTAACCTTGTTCATAACCTTTATGAGACAAGGCTTTCATATTTTTTTTTTCAAATGCGCATTACTTGTGACAAGACCTTTCCGATGTATTACGATATTTGACTTCATGACTTTGTTCTTTGATCTTGAAGTTTGAAATAATTTTGAGAAGCTATGATCTTTGCCATAACTGTTATAAATTCAATAATTTATGTCTTTTTTGAATGAAGAACAATACACACAAATACGACAGTCACTGAAACCTGTAATTTTCTGAAACCTAATACTTTCAAGAATTGAATAAAATTTGCATGTGTCTTGCAAAAATTCTACTTTTGTCAATTTTCCCGTTTGTCCATCACAGTGTCTCTTTAAATCGATGCGTAAAACAACGAGCACAATGCTACCTTTTTTGAGGTCTGAATCTCCCTCTTTTTCATCACAGTAGGTTAACATGTATGCATAATGTAATTTTTTTTCTTTTTTTGACAAAGAAGCACAAGAATTTGGAATATACACTGGTCAGAATATACAGTGTTTTATTCCATATAAATTATAAGGAATTTTTTGGGAATAAAATATGAAGTTGGAAGCTAGGGACACATTGCTATGATGAAGAGCTATCCACCGGACCCATGATAACCATTTTCAAAATGAATCACTCTGGGAGAGAATATCAATGCATGTACTTCGATTACGAAAAATTGAGCCTATAGGGTAAATACATTATAGCCAAAATATTAAGACCCAAAGGTTCAACATTTCATAAGTGGTTTGTCATACATGTATAACTTATTGAACTCTATGATATTTTGAACCCTGGAGGTTAAAAATTTTCTTGTGAAATATTAAACCCTGGGCCCTTTAAAATATTGATTCACCCATATAATATGTTGCACTGATTTTCCAGAAGAATTGTATTTTATATGTAAAATGCAATCAGTTTTATTTCGAATAGCTTGCAGGCCAAAAGTGGTCCAAAATAAATTTTAATTAACTTGATAAATTCATGAAAGAATAAAAAAAACATCATAAAGTATTATATCTCTTACATATCCGAGTATCAATGAACCTTAAGTGGAAACATTTATCTACTAGTGTTCATTCCAACTTTTGAACATTACCAAAACTTTCCATCGTATAGAATGAACAGAGATTTCCCTGCATTGGACATTGAAAGTGTTATAGATAAGAAGCAGATGTGAATGGAGAACAATTAATGGAAATGAAAATTTTGTCAAAACTCATTCATTCATTTAAGGCCCAGCCACTAAACATATTTTTCAGACTTTACCTGGGGCAGCTACATTGGGTTTCACAGTCAAATTGGATTGTTGTACATTTGATGTTGGAGAAGAAACAGGTATTTTCCTACAATAGGAAAATAACATGCAAATATACATACAAGGGGTTATCAAAAAGATTGTGGACTGGTGCAATAAAATTAATACAGTTGCACCTTGGCATCTCGCAGATATCTTAAAGACCATAGATTTGTCGAAGTGATTCCGAAGTCCCAACCACTTATTCTTTAAGTATTTAACCCTCAATATCTCGATTTCCTCTGATATCTTGAAGTTTTTTTCTCAATCCCAATAAGTTTAAGATACTGTAGATTCCTTATTTTTCGCGAGTACTTATTACCGCGAAATGGCTCTTTCACATCAAATCACGAGAACAATAATTCGCGAGTGGACGGTTGATCAAGGGATTTTACATTGATTTCAGCACCATAAAAATAAAAGCGAGAAATTTTATTTCGCGAGTGGTGCTTCTCGCGTAATTACGCGATAATTAATTCCTCGTGTATATTTAGGAATCTACAGTAATGAGATTTGACTGTACTATGTTGGTTTCATTTCATTACACAGTTTACAAATACCCTTTCTCAATAAGGTTGAGTCATTCATATAAATTAAAACACTATATACTGACAAAATCAAGCAGTTTTTGATATATTTTATGTTATCTATTCAATGTTACCTTTGCGGAGGAAGAGGTGCTGGAGAAGAGGATTCCTTTGATTTCTAAAAGAAAGAAATGGTTCTGAGAGGCATGACATATATACAGTTCCTATCACAAACAACCTAACAGAAAGTGGGCCCTCACCAAACCCTAGATTTGTTATTATCACTAAAGATGTAAATAAATCTAAGAGTGGTCATTTTTTTATTTACTATTAGCATGATAGTTCACATATTTTCCTGCAAAGAAAAATTGGCATCCATGTATAGTATATAAGAATGCAATAGAATCTGACAATCAAAGAAAATATGGTTCCCTAACCCTCAAATGAATAATTAAATTGAAATTATTAGAAATGACTATGTATCATTTTGTTAATACGTGTTTCCAACAATCCTTCAAAAGAGATTTCAGTCTGTCTTTACTGCAATTGTCAGTCTATATCCATTGTGGAATACAGATTCCAATGTATTTTCATAGTGAATTTAAAAATAGGTTTGTTTGGTAACTGAATATCATACAGTTTCAAAGTACTGTATCATGAGCTCAACATGTTACCGGCAATCCTCCAAAAGAGATTTCAGTCTCTATTTACTGAAATTGTCAGTCTACACAATCCATTGTGGAATATCGATCTGGATGTATTTTCATAGTATTTAAATGTAAGTTTGTGTGGTAACTGAATGTTATACAATTTCAAAGTATAGTAGCATTTATTTCCAAATTAAGGATTATTCTCCCTCATGTATAGCTCTGATCCTCCGATGTTTTTGGCACCTTTTTTCAGCTCTTCAAAGTCTTTTTTATTTAAATATCTTGGATTTCCAACGTTTTGGCATGAGCATCACTGAAGAGACATAATTTGTCAAAATGCGTATCTGGTGTATCAAAATTGGTACCGTATATGATTTACTCATAAACATGCATAAATGCTAATTATCAAAATCCTGCCTCTCAAAATTCAAAAGTCATAAGTTAAATTAAACTCCCCAGGGTATTTTTGCAAAGTAGGTCAAAGGTCAAGGTCAATTGAATTGTAATGCTGATATTTGTCATAATGTCTTATGACAAACAGTGCACATGCTAAATGGCACAGACTTAACTCTTAAATGTCAAAAATATGCTGTATATTGGCACTTTGAACTATTTTGAAAAGTAGATTGAAGGTCAAGGGTGTCAAGGTCAGTAACCATGGTAATTTACAATAGTCATAGTGCCAAGGAAGATATATGCAAAATATCAAATCCATACCTCTTACAGTTCTCAAGATAGAGGGTGTGACAGACGGACAGGCAGCTAGACAGACAGACACTGGGTAAAGTGATCCCTAAGTGCCGCTCTGCTTTGGAGGCAACACAAAAATTATATTCAATTATTGAATTAGAAAATAACTTCATGTAACTAATATTTTGCTTTGTTCATAATTGTCTGTAATTTAGATTACCCATCATCCTATCAGGTTTTGCATTTATTCTGTTTTGTGTTTATTAGGTTTTGCATCTATATCAGGCTTTGCTTTTATATTGTTTTGCATTTATTAGGTTTTGTGTTTATCGTGAAGAATGTATATCCTGTTGAATCGTGCATGAATCCTATCTTATCATAAGTGTATCCTATTCTATTATGTCAAGAATACCCTTGCAAGTACTGTATGACTAAAGATGCCTATTCTGTTCCAAAGAAAATTTTCCTATATATTCTTATGTAAAAATCTGATTGCCCATTGATAGCCCTCGGGGTAGGGTGAGGCCACAATGGGCAATTAAAGTTTACATAGGAATACATAGGAAAAATCTTTAAAATCTTCTACTTAAAGGCCGAGATTTTTAACTGTATGGTTTTCTCAGGTAAGGGGAGGGACTTACCGATAATTCTACATGTGTGGTACCCTGAGGCATTGACGGTGGTGCAGACCGTGCAGAGCATTAATCCCTATACACAAACAGTATACACAGGAAGTCCATGAGTATTACCTGTACAGATTGTTTGGCCTACCCTTCATCAGGAGATAAAACAAGAGGCCTTTGGGCCACATTGGTTAGGAAAAAGCAGAAAACAGTTTAGTATTGAAAAAATTCAATATATAAGTGATCATAAATCCCCCCCCCCCCACCCTCCCAAGGGGAAAGGGGAATGAGATGATTTGGTGCTTCCATATATTTTTTTTTTTTTGACGAATCATGACTTTAGAAGATTTTTTTCCATATGTTTGATCCCCTGTGGCTGGCCCTGCCCTATCCACAGGGGAACATGATTTGAACAAATTTTAATCTACACTTCCAGAGGATGCTTCTGAATTAATATGACTAGTCATGGATTTGCCGTTCTTGGGAAGAAGATTTTGAAAGATATATCCTACATATTCCCACCTAAAACTTTGATCATCCATTGTGGGCTTGCCCTACCCCAGAGGTCATGATTTGAACAAGAGGCCCAAGGGCCTTAACGGTCACCTGAGTACAACAATTTAGATGATCCATAAACTGATAAATGAAGCTTTGTTGCCCCAAAGCAAGAAAAATAGAATGATTAGGATCAACAAAATAATTGGTCTAGTATCTATCCCCCATTAAGAACATTTAAAATGATAAATTATTTTTCCCTCATTTTATCGATTATTTCCAAGTCTACCTGATGCATAATTTTTCGTCACATCTCAAAAACATAGGTAATCAGAGATTACAGAGCTCACCTCAACAAATGTTGTCTTTAAGTAAAGCAAAGTCCCACACTAAACTAATAATCTAGAAGTGTGCATCCCTAGATGCAACATTTATGCAATTTTGTCTGATAGGGCTTGCAGTTACTTGGGAATAGACTTATCTGAAAACTTAAAACTAGTCACTCATCCAGAAAATGTAAGTCAAATCCAGCATCCGAAGCAAGTTTTGAGGAGATTGTTCATCCCTTGATGCACCATCCATGCAAATTTGGTTCAGATAGGCCTTACAGTTACTTGGAAATGAGATCTGCTTCAAAAACTTTAACCTGGTTACTCATTTGGAAAATGTAGGTCAGATCCAGCATCTGAAGCAAGTCCAGTAGTGTGAATCCTTAGATGTATCATCCATGCAAGTTTGGTCAATATAGGGTTTATAGTTACTTGGAAATGACATCTGCTCCAAAAACTTTAACCTGGTCACTCATCCAGAAAATTTAGGTCAGATCCAGCATCCGAAGCAAGTCCAGTAGTGTGCATCCTTAGATGTATCATTCATGCAAGTTTAGTCAATATGGGTCTTATATTACTTGGAAATGACATCTGCTCCAAAAACCTTAACCTGGTCACTCATCTGGAAAATATAGGTCAGATCCAGCATCCGAAGCAAGTCCAGTAGTGTGAATCCTTAGATGTATCATCCATGCAAGTTTGGTCAATATAGGGTTTATAGTTACTTGGAAATGACATCTGCTCCAAAAACTTTAACCTGGTCACTCATCCAGAAAATTTAGGTCAGATCCAGCATCCGAAGCAAGTCCAGTAGTGTGCATCCTTAGATGTATCATTCATGCAAGTTAAGTCAATATAGGTCTTATAGTTACTTGGAAATGACATCTGCTCCAAAAACCTTAACCTGGTCACTCATCCGGAAAATATAGGTCAGATCCAGCATCCGAAACAAGTCCAGTAGTGTGAATCCTTAGATGTATCATCCATGCAAGTTTGGTCAATATAGGGCTTATAGTTACTTGGAAATGAGATCTACTCCAAAAACTTTAACCTAGTCACTCATCCAGAAAATTTAGGTCAGATCCAGCATCCGAAGCAAGTCCAGTAGTGTGCATCCTTAGATGTATCATTCATGCAAGTTTAGTCAATATGGGTCTTATATTACTTGGAAATGACATCTGCTCCAAAAACCTTAACCTGGTCACTCATCTGGAAAATATAGGTCAGATCCAGCATCCGAAGCAAGTCCAGTAGTGTGAATCCTCAGATGTATCATCCATGCAAGTTTGGTCAATATAGGGTTTATAGTTACTTGGAAATGACATCTGCTCCAAAAACTTTAACCTGGTCACTCATCCAGAAAATTTAGGTCAGATCCAGCATCCGAAGCAAGTCCAGTAGTGTGCATCCTTAGATGTATCATTCATGCAAGTTAAGTCAATATAGGTCTTATAGTTACTTGGAAATGACATCTGCTCCAAAAACCTTAACCTGGTCACTCATCCGGAAAATATAGGTCAGATCCAGCATCCGAAACAAGTCCAGTAGTGTGAATCCTTAGATGTATCATCCATGCAAGTTTGGTCAATATAGGGCTTATAGTTACTTGGAAATGAGATCTGCTCCAAAAACCTTAACCTGGTCACTCATCCGGAAAATATAGGTCAGATCCAGCATTCGAAGCAAGTCCTGTAGTGTGCATCCTTAGATGTATCATCCATGCAAGTTTGGTCAATATAGGGCTTATAGTTACTTGGAAATGAGATCTACTCAAAAAACCTTAACCTAGTCACTCATCCGGAAAATGTTGGTCAGATCCAGCATCCGAAGCAAGTTCAGTAGTGTGCAATCCTTAGATGCATCATCCATGCAAGTTTGGTCAATATAGGGCTTATAGTTACTTGGAAATGAGACCTGCTCCAAAAACTTTAACCTGCTCCAAAAACATTAACCTGGTCATTCTTTAGCTGAAATTGCAGCATCTGAAACCTTGACTGGTTCAATGAAACACACTAGAAGCATCCTCCATGCATCTCTGACTTATATAGGCCATAGAAGTACTTGAAAAGAAAACTGCTCCAAAAACCTTAACCTGGGACGCCGACGGTATTACATAAGCTCTCCCCCAACTTTGTTGAGGTGAGCTAAAAATTATTCTTTGAGTGAAAACAAGAATTCAGTCACCTATGTACTAATCATATTGTACCACTTTGAATGGAAATTTACTTATCAAAAAAAAGTTATTATACACAAGCATGATTTATTTTACTGAAACATTATGAGACAAAAAAATTTTCTCCTGTGTTTGTGCTACAGATAATTATAATCAAGCTATAATTTTTGCATCAGCTTCTTTATCTTGCTGTTATATATGAGGTAAACATCAAAAGAGCGAAAGTTAATCTGATGGTCACCACAAGCGACAATCAAGGTGTACAAGTTATACACAGGGGTTAGTAGCTAAATGTCAATCAATTTCAAGCATCCAATGAAGGACCTTAGTTCACTTGATTGATGGGGATATAAAGACCAGGTAAATCTGTGGGCTTTAATTATTGTATGCAGATTTGATCCTTTATGCAAACTTGCTGCACAGCTTTGTTTCATATACCTGCTGTGTTGTCACTGATGGAGAGGCTTCTGGGATACTCATAAATACTGGCAGTGGAGCAGGAGCAGTCACACTGGGAATAAGCTTTGTGGTTGATGTATCTGAAAAATATTTTTTTTTAACATATATTTCTGAATACTACCTTAAATTGTTCAGCAAGATCTTTGTCTCAGAAATGTACAAAATGCATCCCTCTTTCCAAAACAAGCCTAAAGGCCTTGACAGTGACCTGAGTATAGAACAACAATGTTATTGATCCATTAAAGTATAAAACAAGAGGCCCATGAGCCCCTGCACTTACCTGAGGCACTAATGACCCTTCTGTTTTCATCAGCAGATTTCTTTTCCCTCGTTCCTATACAGTGGAGCCTTAATTATCTGGATACTTTGATTCCCAGTCAAAATTGTCTGGATAGGTGAAGCATACAGATATATGAATTGCCTTGATTTTAGTTGCATGGCCTTTTATACCATTTGCAAAAGTGAAGAATGTTCCATAATATCAACAAGTTTTTTTTTAATACTTTAATATACATAAGCACTACTGTGGCCTCGTCCTACCCCCAGGAGTTATGATATGAACAAACTTGAATCTAGAGTATGTAATGAAGCTCTCACATAAGTTTCCTCTTTTCTTGCCCAGTGGTTCTTGAGAAGAAGATTTTAAAAGATGCCACCAAATTTTCATGAATTCTTAATTATCTCCCTTTGAAAGAGGGTGCGGCACTTCCTGTGAACAACCTTAAATTCCCTTCACCCAAGGATGCTTTGTGGCAAGTTTGGTTGAAATTAGCCCAGTGGTTTTTGAGTAGAAGTCAAAAATGTGAAAAGTTTATGGACTTAAGATGACAGACGGACACTGGACACTCTTTGATCAGAAAAGCTCACTTGAGCATTCAGCTCAGGTGAGCTAATAAAACTTGGATTCCCTATTGTGGCCCCACCCTACCCCTGGGGAGCATGATTTGAACAAATTAATATTTACACTACCACAGGATGCTTTCACATAAGTTTCAGCTTTTCTGGCCTAGTGGTTCTTGAGAAGAAGATTTTTAAAGATTTGTCCCATATATTTCAATGTAAAACTTGGATTCCCTATTGTGGCCCCATCCTACCCCCAGGGGCCATGATTTGAAAAATTTAGAATCTACACTATCCCAGGATGCTTTCACATAAGTTTCAGCTTTTCTGGCCCAGTGGTTCTTGAGAAGAAGATTTTTAAAGATTATTCCTATAAATTTTAATGTAAAAATTTGATTTCCTATTGTGGCCTCACCCTACCACTAGGGGCCATGATTTGAACAATTTAGAATCTACACTACCTCAGGAAGCTTCCATATAAGTTCCAGCTTTTCTGGCCTAGTGGTTCTTGAGAAGAAGATTTTTAATGACCCCACCCTATTTTTGCCTCTCTTGATTATCTCCCCTTGGAAGGGGGCTTGGCCCTTCACTTTAACAATTTAGAATCCCCTTTACCCAGGGGTGCTTTATACCAAGCTATTTTTTGAATTGGCCCAGGTATTCTCAAGAAGTTGAAAATGTGAAAAGTTAACTGATGGACGGACAAACAGACAGCTACATGTAGACAGATGGACATCAGACTACGGGAAAAACTCACTTGAGCTTTAAGCTCAGGTAAGCTAAAAATCAATGCCTAGATTGATATATTTTTGGACTTTTTTGGTTGTAAATAATGCAAATATCAAATTTCTGATATGTAAAACAAGAGGCCCACTGGCCTTATAGGTCACCTGAGTATCATGCAACAACTTCGCCACAATGGATTCATGTTTTAAACCAGAGGCCATGAAATTCACAATTTCGAAAGAGGCACACTTGCTCCTCATAATTTTACATTTAGTAAGCTTACTTAATACCCAGAAAGAGAGCAGAGGATTATCAAAGAATTAATGCATTTTCACTATGTAATCATTAGAGCCCTGCCCTAACACCAGAACCATGATGCAGGGGCCATAAAATTCACAATTTTGGAAGAGGCATCCTTACATATCATAACAATACTCTTAGTTCATCAGCTTAATACCCAGGAGAAAAGAAGAAGATTTTCAAAGAATTATTGCATTTTTACTATGTAATCATTAGAGCCCCACCCTAACACCAGAACCCCTGACCCAGGGGCCATGAAATTCATAATTTTGGAAGAGGCACCTTTACTCATCATAACTATGCATCAGTTTGTTTGTTAAATACCCAGGATCAAAGAAAAAGATTTTTAAAGAAATAATGCATTATCACTATATATTCAACAGAGCCCCACCCTAACACCAGAACCCTTGACCTAGGGGCCATGAATTTCACAATTTTGGAACAGGCACCCTTATATATCATAACTATATACTCTTAGTTCATCAGCTTATTACCCAGGAGAAAAGGAGAAGATTGTCAAAGAATTATTGCATTTCTTATTCATCATAGCTATGCCTTCAGTTTGTTTACCCTGGATCAGAGAAGATTTTTTGAAGAAATAATGCATTTTCACTATACATATATATTCAACAGAACGCTGCCCTAACACCAGAACCCCTGACCCTGGGGCCATGAAATTCACAATTTTGGAAGAGGCACCTTTCATCATCATAACTATGTATTTATTTTGTTTTCATAATATCCAAGAGCACAGAAGAAGCTTTTTAAAGAAATAATGCATTATCACTATATATTCAACAGAGCCCCACCCTAACACCAGAACCCCTGACCCTTGGGCCATGAAATTCACAATTTTGGAAGAGGCACTCTTTCTCATCATAACTATGTACTTAGTTCATCGGCTTAATACCCAGGAGCAGAGGAGAAGATTTTTGAATAATTAATGCATTTTCACTATATAATCATTAGATACCCGCCCTAACACCAGAACCCCTGACCCAGGGGCCATGAAATTCACAATTTTAGAAGAGACACCTTTCCTCATCATAACTATGCATATTGTTTGTTTCCTAAATACCCACGAGCAGAGGAGAAGATTTTTTAAGAATAATGCTTTTCACTACATATTCAACAGAGCCCCACCCTAGCACCAGAACCCCTGACACTGGGGCCCAGAGCTCCCACTGGAGCGAAAATATTTTTCGCCATTTTTCACGATGAAAAGAATTGCATTCTTACATCTCGCCTCAACAAGTGTATATAATGCTAATCACTCCACTAAAAGCACTATTTCAATTTGTTTATATCACAGGCATTGTTTTAAAATTGTAAAATTTAAAGTTGTATCCACTTACAAAACTAATATAAGAATTATTAGTAGATGTCCTCTTGTTCATAACATTTTTTTTAGCCTGGGGAGGGGGGTTACAGACTTAGTAAAAATATATGACATTTTTTTAAAAATGAAAAAATAATATAATAAGTGAAAAATTTAATCATATCAACAATTTATCGTGAAAAGAAGTAATCAAAATCAGGTTTAAAATTTGGCTTAATTTAACAACTTGGACTGTTGGACACTGGATGTATGCAATCATGTAAATTCATATAATTGAAAATAATTCAGCATAATTGTATTGTTTTGTTTCCAAGCCAGTATCTCTTTCACTCTTTGTCAGTTTATGGTATAAATGAACACACTATTTTGACTTTAATCAGGTAAAATTAGCAGCCATGCTCTGCAATTTTCGTCATGTTTTCCTACTTTCAATTTAAAAAAACGATCTATATAGATCCAGATTTTATTGATTAAAATCTTTTATTAACTAACTTCATCTCCCAAAAACACTTTGTCTTTCCTTGTTTAATCCATCTTATATTATTTCAAGTAATTTTGTATCCCCTTACTGCTCCAGGCTGAAGTTACCTAGTCAGCTGTGTGCGTTCAAGCGAGACGTGATTTCCTACATGTACATTGTTTTGTACGTTCCATGAAGTTTTCACACCCTGAATTCACACGCCTGCTTGCATTAAATAAACAAAGGGGCTAATCTGTATACATTGAATAAACAAAGGAGATAGCCAGGAGTACACACACTTTTGTTTGGCATATCTAAAAAAACATTTCATTTTCGCTACTTTTGAATTTCTTTTCGCCACTTTTGGAAAAAATTCGCAATTGGCGCAAATGGCGAATCACAGCTCGAGCACTGCTGGGGCCATAAATTTCACAAATTAGGTAGAGGGCTCGATGCTTATTACATTCATGCCAACAGTTTGCCTGCTTGATGCCCAGGAGTAAAGAAGAAGATTTTTAAAGATTGCATTAATTCTGATGGTTTCAGCCCCACCCCTCAGGCCCCAGGGGGGTAGGGGTCATGAATTTCACAATTTTTACTCCCCTTCACATATAGATGCTATGTGCCAAATTTGGTTGAAATTGGTTCAGTGGTTCCAGAGAAGAAGCTGAAAATGTTCAAATGTTAACGCTCGATGGACGAAAACAGATAGCAATAGGTCACCTGAGTAAACTCAGGTGACCTAAAAATTCGGAACTTTTTATGATGTTCAAATTTCTACCTTTTTGCTGTCACCCTTATAAATAAGTACAATGTTTCATCACTTTATAGGACATTACTGTGAAACCTTGAATGAAAAATTAAAATTTTATGCAGCTAAACTAATTCATTTTACTTAAATATCATGGCTGAAGTTGTTATTTTCATGATTTTTGAAGAAAGTTTGTTTGTATCATCTGTCCCTAAGACTAATCTAGTCATCTGCTACATTTGTTTTCTCATTATCTGGAGGTTTTACCATTATCTTTGCTAAGGAAAAGATAACTCATGCTAAGAATGATATCTTTAGTTTAAGTCAATGAAAAAACAGAATAAAAGTAAGAATGATCAAAATTCACTCAGAAAAAAGGAACATAATAAATCAAAGTTATTTGTACCTGTTGGTAAGTTGGAAAGTTCTGCACTCTCTTGCATTTTCTTTGCCAACTCTGCTTCCTCATTTGAAATTATTTCTGTTGATTCATCTGAAGATTCTTCCATCATTTTTTAAAAGGCTTTTTCTTCTCAGTTCCGATGAAAAATGACTGTGAAGAGGAACATAGGCATTATTAATATAATTGTCTGTTTCAGTTGCATTTGTGAATTTGGACTAAAATATCAGAGAGTAAAGCAAACTGTCTTTCATGTACAATAAATCTGTGGTTTCACTATACATATATATAAATCATATACAAAAACAATATTTTGTATTAACGTGTTTCAAATATAAAACTCTACCATTATTAGCTTTAAAGAATGGGAGGACTTCAGAGTCCTGAAAATAGGCTGTAAATTGAAGTTTAATTTATAAAATGTTTATTTCTTTCAATAGTATTAATCACCGATATCTTAACTATGTAATCTTGCTACAGATATGGATTTAAAACTCTCTTTACAAGAAAAACCAAAGAAATATCGAAGGCATGGGGCCCGAAGATTTCTTAATTCAGAATTTAGCAAATTATTTGCGTGTCCCAGGGATGGGGTAATGGTAATGTGTAATGGTAATTGACAGTAATTAATTACAAATTTTGATGTAATTGTAAGTAATGTGTAATTGGCCAAATTTTCAATTACAAGTAATTGTAATTTAATTAATTACTTTGGAGAAAATGCATGTAATTCACAATTACTTTGCCATTACATTCAATTACACTGATGTATAATGAATGAAAAATCAATACCCCCAACCCCCAACCCCCAACCCAACCCACTATACACTATTCAAGAAAGCTTAACTGATTTCTTAGGGAAAATATTTTGATGGTTAATATCTTACAGGAATATTCATATTTCCTCCTTTTAGTGAATTGCTGTTTTATCTCATGCATTTTTTAAAGGAACTTTAAAAATATTCTCGCTGTGTTAATATACAAATAAACTTAAAAAGTTTTGATTAAGTTGTTTATGAATTAATTATAACAGTTGAAATACCTAGTCCAATAGCTTCTAATCCTTTGTTTGCCATATCTGTTAACAGCTTGTGTTAGAGTGATTATCAAATGCTAATTAGTGCCAGGTAAGGTCATGTACAATCTAAAACATTGATATCAAGGAATATGTATGAAATTCAGGCATTGATTCCAAAGTAGTTTACTTATTAGTCAGTTTCGCATTGATATTCTTTCCATCAGCACTGAATTGACTATTGTTCAGAATTACCCAGATATACCCTAACTGTACACCACTTTTTGTGTGGTGAGGCATGGATAAGTATGATTACCCCACCTCTGTTGATTTTTCGATGAAATCCTGGCTTACGATTGATTGAAGTCTGTCACGTGAAGGGGGTGTATTACTTATACCTAGTCGCTTGAAAATCAATACATGGTAGATACGGAGTTATCGTTCTTTTGTAACGTTCGAACAACTCGAGTTCACACGATTTGCCGAGTGTCTGTTGACAATGTTACAGTTAACTAATGTAAGTAACGAAGATGGAACCTTTTTCTCCCTTTACTGAAAGTCTTCAAAACTGTCAGTACGTTATTACAGCACGAAACACTCGCAAAACAAAGCGAGGCGAAGCCGAGCCAGGTATGGAATTTACTAACCAGGTATCATCCCGTACCCTGTCACTAAAAAACTATGTAACTAATATTACTTCACATTGTGCTGAATAATTACCAATTAATTATCATGTTAACCAGAATTGGTCTTCTTTGTTATTTCATTCAAGAAGTAGCTGTTTGGTCACAAATTAACTGTTGTACATAGCCCCAAAACTTTAATAACTTTGAGTGCAATTGCAGGGATTAATCAGTACCTTCTCAGGGGCAAAAATTTGGCCCCATTCCCAACTGAAAATGAGTTCAGTTTTTCCCAATTTGGCAGTATTTTTTCCCAATTGGTGAACAATGCTTTCATATTTAATTATCTTGGAAAAACACAAAGTAAAATTGTCAGATTTTCTGTATTAAAGGGGGGGGGGGTGGGGGGGGTGTTGATTTGAACTTGAATCTATACTTCAAAGGGATGCTTTGGAATCAATATGACAAATAATGGCTATGCTGTTCTTAAGAAGACAATTTTTATTGATATATCATTTGTATTCCTTTGTATAAATATGATCCCCAGTTATAGCCCCTCTATTCTCCTGGAGGGTCATGATACATGTATGATCAAAATTTGAATCTACATTACCCAAGGATGCTTCCATTTAAATATGACTAATTATGGCTTTGCTGTTCTTGAGAAAAAGATTTTAAAAGGCTTTTTCCTATGTATTCCTATGTAAAACTCTGATCGCCCATTGTGGCCCCACCCTACCCCTGGGGGGGGGGGGGGGGGGGGTCAAGATTTGAACAAACTTGAATCTTCACTACCTGAGGATGCTTCCATATAAATATGACCAATCATGGCTTTGTTGTTCTTGAGAAGAAGATTTTTCCAGATTTTTCCTATGTGTTCTTATTTAAAACTTTGATCGCCAATTGTGGCCCACCCTATCCCCTGGAGTCATGATTGGAACAAACTTATACCTACATTACTTGATGATGCTTCCATATAAATATAACCAATCATGGCTTTGCTGTTCTTGAGAGGAAGATTTTTAAAGATTTTTTAAAGGATTTTTCCTATATATTCCTATGTAAAACTTTGATCGCCCATTATGGCCCCACCCTACCCCCGTTGGTCATGATTTGAACAAACTTGAATCTACACTACCTGAGGATGCTTCCATATAAAAATGACCAATCAATAAATCCCTGAATTGTGCAGAAAAAGACACATTTTCAAGAGTGATTTTCCCATGAATTGTTTTCAGATGAGTTTAAAGTTGAAAATAATCAGTGCATCAAGATGCAATTTTCTGCACATCCTGAGAAAAATGCTAATTTAAGAAATAAGTTTGATTTGGTAGCTATATAAAGCTACTTCAAGTAGGTAAATAAAGCTATATAGGTATCGAGGATAATTCAAGCTATGTAGCTAAATCTAGAGATTGTACCAGACCTGGTAAACATTCTAAATTTCTTTGGAGCTTATGCCCCCAACCCGTTGGGGGAAACGATTATACTAGTCTGACTTTAAATTTAGCTTAAAAGTAGTTGAAGGCTAAAGCCTGACTACTAAAGCAAAGAGAGTAAGGGAAAGGGTAGTCTGAAATATCTGACGTTTTCCAGGCTTTTTTTCCTTCAAGGTTTTGATATTTCACGTACCAGGAACGTGAAAAAAGCCTGGAAAACATCAGATATTTCGGACTAGGGAAAGGGGCTTAATACAGCCACAGACTAGACAGAACGTTCTATCGTTAAAATGATATTGTCCTATGGTCCGTAAAATGATAGAATTCGTTCCGTGTATTGGCAATGTAGCAAAATAAACACGGGCGATAACTCGAACTCTGTGCATATTATATGAACAATCCAGAGTGTTTTGAATGTCAACATGGCATGTAAATTTGAAACAAGAAAAAACGTTGAGAAAATGAGCTGAATTTTCGTCTTTATATGGATTATTTTTTAGGATAAAAAGCATATACAATCTCAAAAAGGTTTGTTTTGATTATTTTGGTAGAACTTTATTTTCAGCGCAACCCCTTTTGGATTCTTCTAAATGATTTCGGAGAGGATCCGCTCCGATTTGCTTCAACTCAATGCAAGAATATGGGACATATTCTAACTGTGGTGATCATGATCGAGGGCTTGTCCCGAGACACAGTTAGATTATTCTAAAGTATCTAACTAGGCCCCAGACATGATGCCACCGACATTATTTTTGCCTAGGTACGCCACTGGTTGACATTTATAAATATGAATATTCAATAATTAATTCATAATTGTATCATTTACCTTCGTGGTCCATTGGTGCACAACAATATCGTCTAAACAAAGATTCCTATCGCCTTATGTTTCATCAGCCACGTACAAATAAATATTATGAAAACAACGATCCCGATGTTAAAAAAATCCGGGGGGGTTTTTTGGGGGGGGGGTGTATGGAATTCCATATACGACAACCAACTGCCTACTGCTCACTGCTTACTGCCAACTGCTCACTGCTTACTGCCAACTGCTCACTACTTACTGTAACAATATTTGATCGGGTTCGATGTTCAATTGGTGCTTACAATTTTTACGCCATGCTTGTTTACATGTTCTAATAAATGTAGTCTAGTTGAAACTGACTTTTCCATTACGCCACACGGCAGCAGCTTCTTACATGGTGTCAGAAGTGTCGGACCATTATTAGTGAGTACGGGGATTGAAAATATTGTGTAACCAGCCACAATTAGAGACAAATTGCCATTTTCCTTTGTTATTGTTCGAGAGCGCGCCAAAATCGACAACAATGGAAAACGTACTTCATCCGCCCGAAACAATGGATTTCGATGCTAAAAATCTTTCTCAGACCTGGAAGAAATGGAAGGAAGAGGTGTTACTCTACATCGATATCAGCATGGAGAAAAAACCAGAGCTACAAAAGGTGAAACTCTTGCTGTATCTTCTGGGACGCAAGGGGAGAGAAATCCATAGCACGATGCAGTTTCAAACTACCGATGAGCATGGGAACAAAGTGAATATGGAAGAGAAAAATATTACTGTAAAACTCATCCTCGCAGAATTTGACAATCACTGTGATCCCAAGAAAAACGAAACAGTCGAGAGGTACAAATTCTACAGTCGAAACCAGCAGACAGGTGACACATTTGACAAATTCTTAGCAGAAGTTAGAATTTTGGCTGACACTTGTAACTTTGGAACTCTCAAAGACTCAATGATAAGAGACCGAATTGTTTGTGGCGTAAGTGATTCTGGGCTGCGAGAAAGGCTTCTACGTGTGACCGATTTAGACTTGGAGAAATGCATTCATGTGTGTAGAGCCACTGAAGTTTCCAAGGAGCAGAACAAGGAAATTCAACCACAGGCTGCAGGAATATCTGTGCATGCAGTCAACTCGCACAAGAAGAGCTTCAAGAAACAGCCACAAAAGTCCCAGAAACCACAGCAACAGGTACAAGCGAGACAAGAACCTAGTCAATGCAAGTACTGTGGAAGTTGCCACGCCAAAGGAAAGCGAAATTGCAAAGCCTATGGCCATCAGTGCAGGAAGTGTCGCAAACTTCATCACTTTGAAAATGTCTGCAATTCCGCCAAGTCAACAGTCCATCAAATCCAAGAGAGTGCCGAATCAGACTCTGATGATTACTTTTCTATATATAGTGTAGATCTCAAAAACAACAGCGAGTCAGTAAATGCAATTAACCAAGCTTCTGCAAACAAGGTATTTGCCACCTTGTCGGTCAACGGACAGTATGTGAAATTTCAAGTGGACAGTGGGGCGACCTGCAACATACTCCCAAGAAAGTATTTGACAGATAACAATGCAATCACAGAGACAGACCAAATACTCAGCATGTATAACAACACGACAATCAAACCTCTGGGCAAGTGCAACCTAAAATTCAAAAATCCTAAGAACGGAGGAAAATACAAAGCAGATTTCGTCATACTGGATGGCTCGTGTCAACCAATACTTGGTTCCAAAGCTTCACAAGCCTTGAAATTGATCACGGTCGAGAACGAAAACATCCTTGAAATCAATGTGAGAAAACAACCTTTGACAAAGGAGAACATTTGCAGAGAATACCATGATGTGTTTACTGGCCTAGGACACCTGAAAGGAGATTACAGCCTCCAGATTGATCTGAGTGTCAAACCAGTTGTTCATGCTCCACGGAAAGTTCCACTCGCAATCAAGAATGACTTAGAAAAGGAACTGGAGAGACTCGTACAACTGGAAATTCTAGCCAAAGTTACTGAGCCTACACCTTGGGTCTCCAGCTTGGTTGTAGCAAGGAAGCAAAGTGGAAAACTCAGAGTCTGTATAGACCCCCAAGACCTGAACAAGGGACTGCAGCGAGCGCACTACCCTATGCCTACAATAGAGGACATCTTGCCAGATTTGTCAGATGCCAAATGCTTCAGCGTCCTAGATGCCAAAGATGGCTTTTGGCATGTTCGTCTGGACTACGAAAGCTCTCTTATGACTACTTTTAACAGTCCGTTTGGCAGATTCCGCTGGCTCCGCATGCCATTCGGTATCAACACTGCGCCAGAGGAATTTCAGCGTCGCCAGCATCAAGCACTGGAAGGACTACCTGGAGTCAAGAGTATACATGATGACATACTGGTGTTTGGAGAAGGAAACACAGAAGCAGAAGCGCAAGAGGATCATGACAGAAACTTTGTCAGACTCATGATGAGATGTAGAGAACAGCAGCTCAAACTCAATAAGGACAAGATGAAATTTCGACAGTCAGAAGTAAAATTCATAGGCCACACGATCACTAATAAAGGACTCAAGGCAGACCCCGAAAAGGTCAAAGCAGTCCTGGATATGCCAAATCCAACTGACGTAGCAGGAGTCCGACAATTTATTGGATTTGTGACATATTTAGCAAAATTCTTACCAAAGCTTAGTGACATCTGCGAGCCGCTGCGCAAGTTAACACAGAAAGATGTTGAATGGCACTGGACCCCACAACATGACGAAGCTGTAAAACAAGTGAAAAATCTAGTCACAGCAGATCCTGTGTTACAGTACTTCAATCCAGAAAAGGCACTAACACTACAATGCGACGCCTCGGAGAAAGGACTTGGAGCAGCTTTGTTGCAAGAGGACAAGCCGATTGCCTTTGCCAGCCGTGCCCTGACCGAAACTGAAACCCGCTACGCACAAATAGAAAAGGAGCTTCTAGCAGTGATATTCGGGCTTGAACGTTTCAATGTTTACACATTTGGGAGACCAGTATCTGTCCAATCAGATCACAAACCTTTGGAGATGATTGTGAATAAGCCTCTTTACAAAGCACCAAAGCGTCTCCAGAGCATGCTGCTCAGGATGCAAAAGTATGAAGTAAATCTTAAGTACCGTCCTGGAAAGAACATGGAGCTAGCAGATACCTTAAGTCGTGCGTATCTGCCCATTGAGAAACCATCAAAGGTGGAGTCAGTAGTAGAAGCGATAAATATGCTACAATTCCTGCCAATTGCACCAAACCGTTTGAAAGACATTCAGGACGAAACTGCAAAGGATAATACCCTGCAAAATTTAGGCGCATCCATCAGAAATGGGTGGCCAGACTGCAAAACCTTAGTTCCAGAACTCATAGTTCCCTACTTTGAGATCAGAGATGAGCTGTCTATCTAAAATGGAGTCATTTTTAAAGGAGACAGAGCAGTTATTCCACAAGCACTACGCAAGGATATGCTGACAAGGATACATTCATCACACCTTGGAATCGAGGGATGCCTAAGACGAGCCAGAGAATCTGTATACTGGCCACAAATGAACGCTGAAGTTAAGGACTTCATACAAAAGTGTGAAACATGCCGCACTTTTGACAACAACCAAGGAAAAGAACCTCTACAACATCACGAGGTACCACCACGTCCCTGGGCAAAGCTTGGACTTGACATCTTCACTTTCGACCAACGTAACTACTTGATAGTAACTGATTACTTCTCAAACTTCTTCGAGATTGATGCCTTGGACAGAATGACATCCCATGAGATCATCAAACGACTACGAGCACAATTCATGAGACATGGAATACCAGACCTGTGTGTGTCGGACAACGGTCCTCAATTTGCCTCCAAAGAATTTGCTAAGTTTGCCCAACTGTGGGAATTCCAACACGTAACATCTTCACCACACTACCCACAAAGCAATGGGAAAGCCGAACAAGCAGTGAAAGTTGCCAAACAAATTCTAAAGAAAGCAAAACATGCAAAATCTGATCCTTACCTTGCATTGTTGGATTTCAGGAACACACCTACACAGCATGTGGGAACTAGTCCAGTCATGAGACTTATGGGAAGGAGAACAAAAACACTACTACCCACGAAAGGAAAGTTATTACAGCCGAAAGATGCACCATTTGAGAAAGAGAAGATCGACAATGCCAAACAAAAACAAGCAGAGTATTACAACAGATCTGCACACCCATTATCGCAACTATCAGTTGGAGAGACTGTCTGAGTCAAAACCCCTAATAGACCATGGGAGAAAGGAACGGTTACGGAAGCAATACCAGAAAGGAGATCATACAAGGTAACGACCGAGGCCGGAGCAAACTATACGAGAAACAGAAAACATTTGCGTAAATCAAATGAATTGCCGGTGTCAAGAGACATTCCGTGTGATCTTCCGTGTGAGACAAATGAGGCCAAGGAAGTGGCATCCGATGTTCCAAAGCCAATAACTGACCCTAAGAACACAGTTACCCGTTCTGGACGTGAAGTGAAACCGCCGGTTAAATACAATGACTATGTCAGATCGTGATTTGTTGATAGACATTTAACTTGAGTAGATGCCAAGATAATTTTGTTTAGTGTAGCTAGGAACGCTTTATTCATTTCATCGATGTTGCATTTTACAAGTTTGCATATAATACTCATAGTCCAGTGTCTAGTCATATTGTTATTTTTTGCTAGTCAGTTCAGTAAAGCAGTACAGATGTTTTGATTCTAGTCACTTTTAAGCATAATATAAATTTATTCATTGTCCATACTATTCTAACTAAAGAAAAGGGGATGTAACAATATTTGATCGGGTTTGATGTTCAATTGGTGCTTACAATTTTTACACCATGCTTGTTTACATGTTCTAATAAATGTAGTCTAGTTGAAACTGACTTTTCCATTACGCCACACGGCAGCAGCTTCTTACACTTACTGCCAATCGCTACTGTTTATAGATGATATTGTCTATATTAATATCTTTAATAGATAGTTTTCAGTAGGCCCAAATTAGTATACAGTTATGGAATGGGTACTCGGGAAATAGCAAATTTATGGTTCCCCGAGGGAGGAAACTATTTCCCGAGGCGGCGAAGCCGCCGAGGGAAATAGTTTCCTGCCTCGGGGAACCATAGCAAATTTATGGTTCCCCGAGGGAGGAAACTATTTCCCGAGGCGGCGAAGCCGCCGAGGGAAATAGTTTCCTGCCTCGGGGAACCATAAATTTGATATTTCCCGAGTACCCATTCCATAACTGTTTTATTATACCGAAACAAACAAAGGAGATTAATTAACTATAGAGACTAAGACATTTTTAAAACAATATAAGGGCATTTATAAAAATTATAATAAATGCATGCGATTCCGATTTTGTTAAATATGTAATGCATCAATACGGAAAAATTAAAATTATTTTTAAAAAATAATAATAATAAATTTTACTAATATTTCGAAGGATTAGCGTTGTCCTTTTTTTTGCTTAGAAATTCAAGTATGATTTTGGCATCGCATGTCGAAATGTTTTGACGTCATAGTTACATTGCTAATAACATTACGTCACGGACTCGAGATTCCTTGAACGCTCCGCCCACTGCTCATTTTAATTGGTTAAAATTAATAATAAATATTCATGAGGGAGTAGTCCCAGGGAGTAGCTCTTATTTTTCAGGGAGTAGTCCTCAGATGGGAGAAATAGTATCTTCTCGGGGAAATAGACAGTTTTATGGTATTAATTTTATATAGAGTAATAACAGTAGAGGTATAATAACAAGAGTTATTTCCCGTTGGCGGCCGTATTGGAGGTCAACATGCTCATATTCCTTCATTATTCAACCAACTTTAACTTTTTATACTGGCCATTGTGGGGTAGGAAGCATTGTTTTTCTGCAAAATATACATTTGTTAAAGCCTCCTTTATTTCATCATTTTTATTCTATAAAGATCTTACCCCAAATATTTCTGCTACACCCTCTTAGATTTGGTAAGACAAAGAGGAAAAATTACCAGGTTGACCACCAAGATGGCGGCCAAGGGAAATAACTCGGAGAGAAAATACGTCATATGAAAACTATCTATACGCATGCTTGAATAAATCCTATGAACATATTTGAAGGATTTTTTATATCTATGTATGTATGTAGACATTAATGTGAATATTCATAAAACATAACTTATTTGGAAAAGCGAATGAAGAGAGTTAAGTCTATAATTTTGGTAAAACTTGTGTTTATCACTATATACAAATCAACGGAAAACGGATACTTATTCCCCCTCCCCCTCCCCCCGGTGAAACAACAATTTCTTTTTATAGATATTATGAATTGTTATTTCACAGATTCATACCAAAGTGTTTTTTTTGTCTCACGGGGGCGGGGGGGGGGGTATGTTAACAGACAAAAACAATAAAAAAAAAAAAAGTTACATGCATTTTTCATTACCAATTCAGTTTAAATGAGATAAGAAGTCAAAACATTTACTTTATCAATCTGATATGTTGAAGTTTTGAATTTTACATAAGTTAAACATTAAGGGTCATGTATCTATTTCCATGAGAATTCAAAATCTGGCGATGTTTTGAGGCCTGATTTCAACTGACAAAATTTTCTAAACCCCCCCCCCCTCCCTTATGAAAGGAGTTGTAAATAAGAGCGATTAACTTTTTGACACTGGTTTTAAAATTATTAATCCATTACTAATGAACTTTTCTTTGCATTCAAACAAGTTTTCATAGCCAAATTTCCATTAATATTGAATCAAATGGATGTACAGGTAATATGTAAACGGGAGTTAGCGTTAGCATGTGTAGTTCTTACAATATTAAAAAAATGCTGTTATGCCGAAGTGATGTTGACTTCAGCTGTATCCTTAGCCCCCGGGATGTTGAGAATTAACTGTTTGGAGGAAAAGAATGCTTGTTGCGCAGTAAACACCTAAATACATGTATCTTCAAATAATTATGACACTATCCAAAAAAAAAAATAGTCATGTTTTGAAAATATTTGATAATTCTCATTTTTGGAAAAATAGCCTGTATTTTACATAGATAAGAGTGATGTATTTCTTACATCGATATCATGCAGAAATGATGTAGACTTCAATTGCACCTTTGGTTTGGTGTATTTCTTGTGAGAAAAAAGTTGTGAAAACAATAGTTCCAGGCATTTCAAGAATAGTTGCTGAGAACGGTTTGAATGGGAAGAAAACTAAGTAAATATTTCTTGTGCATACAAAACATAAATACCTCTTATATTATCAAAATATTATAAAAGTTGTCATATTTTGAAAATATTTGATAATTCTTTTCTTTTTTTTTAATTATCTTCTTAAATTTTGCACGTAGGAACCTATTCTGTATTTTCAAAGATGTGACCGAAAAATTTGTCACATGGAAGTCCTGCCGAAGTCTGTATTTCTTGGAGAAAAAAGGTGATAAAAATAGCTGCAGGCATTCGAGAATTTGAGAGGGGGCTGACAGGAACAATGTAATAACGCAAAATTTAATAACAAACTTCAAGGATTATTAGTTTTATTACATTTTGTTGAATCACATTTTGCGTCAAGATCAATGCAAAATGTAATAAAGCAAATTGTAACAACACAATTTTTGGATTAATACATTTGCGTTGTTACATTTTGCGTCGAGATTCTGCAAAATGTAATAACACTTTTCGGTCATGCAGTTAGGTTGAAAATAATTTTCAATTGAGTAGAGGATGAAGAAAAGAATCGAAAAGAAAAGAAAACAAAAGAAAAAAATAAAGATATACATTCATTTGTACTTATTCTTACATTAGAACTGATTTTATCATATATTAATTTCATTAGTCATTTAAAAGCAGTTGATATCCATATCATAGGTGTTGCAAATTAGAAACGCGCGCGAGTGTTTGAAAGGGGGGGGGGCTATAATTTCGTTGATCAGAGTATTTAGAAAAAAAATCTATTTATTTTTAGTGGCAGGTGTTATATAATCATAAACGGAGAAGAAGGTGTTACCTTCTTTTAGATAATGTACTACTTTTCGTGTAAAAAAGTAAGAGAGGGACAAAATCCCATAAACCCATATATTACTGAACATTTCTTAAAAAATCATGAAATTAGAGAAATATTTAAAAAAAAAACCTTCTTTTCTGAGCTCCAGTAATAAACATTGAAATTTTGTCTATGTCCATTCTTCATACTATTTTACAATGCAGACCAGTAAAAATAATATTCTCTCTCTCTCTCTCCAGTGAAAAAATGGCCAGTTTTTGCAAGCGCATAAAATACAATGATCAACGTATGAAGCCCCCCTCCACACACACACACACACACACTTCTAATTTTCTAACAGTTGTATACACATGTACATGCATATCAAGAGCTTTTAATGGATCCATGGTCAGTCTTTGGTAATCAAGGATGTCAGTGATTGGATAGATGATACAGACTGATTAATAATAAGATATATCAATCAAAGTATTCAGTTAATGTTTTATAAGTATTCAATAAAAATGTTAACGTTAGAAACAGAATTAGAGAAAAGATAGATTTAGTAATGTCCGTAAAAGCCTTAACGTTAACGTTTACCTCATTGTCATCGGTCTGTCTATCTGTGCATTTAGTAAAGCGAGTTTCCCCTTATACATGTACATGTATGTATGTAATGAAGAGTATCTGATTCCTCAGGTTGTTATGATATATTTTATAAACTTTAATGACTGTGGAAAATATCGAGGATGTTGAGCTCATTCCCTAGTATCGCCAGTGTAGACAGATAGTACGAAATCACTGAAAAAAAACCGGGCGGTTATAATTATACAGTTGGTTAAAATTCTCCAAATACTAAACGCATATTTTTTCTGAAGCCTCAATAAACGATAGCTAGTGAACTTTTTAAGATAAAAAAAGTGTTTAACTTTATTTCAAAACGTGCGCACACATTGATTTATGCGTTCTGTATACTTGTATTAATACATCTTTGGTATTTTCATGGTGAATTATATTAAATATAAATTTAATGGGAAGTTACGTAGGAAAAAAGTCCGACGCGTCAAGTGCGCCCAAGTTATTTCTAGTATGCGCCAATATGCGCCCTTTATATGCACGGGACATAACACATCAATCAAAGGTCCACCCCCGTACGCTAAGCTTCAACAACAAAATAGAGATAACGCTAACAAAATATACAGATAAAAAATTAATTTAATATTTATATATTTAATTCGTTTGAAATTTCACATACTAAATATTTAAGCTGAA